TACTGCTTAGATGCTCATGCAGAGTTGTCATTTTTTTTATCCAAGCCTAAATGTCATTTTGGTTTTAATTTGTCTCCTATTTAGCCCAGATCTACTTTTGTTAAATCTAATTTTATGGCTTTTTGCAATGATCATTTTCTTTTTATCTCTGAACACCTTACTTGTGAAAACCTTTCAATATGCACATCTTTGGATGACACAGAGATCTCTGCCCATTGGTCCAAGTCTTTCTATAACAAATATGTAATATGAAGCTTTTATATTGACTTTTACTTGATGTGCACTTTTCTTTCAAGTGCAATAAACTTTCTAATGTATGAGGATTCAGTTCTCCCTTACAAAGCTTTATGTGTCCTGTTTTTGTGTTTGAGTAAGTGTTTTTAACTGTTTTTGTAATTCCTTGTCTGAGGCTATATGTGGGGACATGCCTGAAGAATGGCTTCTTTGTTGTTAACTATTTGTTCATTTGCAAGGTAGGGTTACAGAGAGGCAGAGAGAGTGAGAACACTGGTTCATTCTCCAAAGGGTTGCAATGACCAGAGCTGTGCCGGTGTAAAGCCAGGATCCATTCTGCTTCTGGTCTCCCACGTGGATGCATGGGCCCAAGGATTTTGGCCATCTTCTACTGCTTTCCCAAGTCATAGCATAGAGCTGGATAGGAGGTGGGACAGCCGGGCCTCAAACCAGCACCCATGTGGGATGCCAGCACTGCAGGTGGCGGCTTTAGCAGTTTTGCCACAGCACGGGCCCCAGGAATGGTTTCTTGAATTTCTGTGTGTGTGTGTGAGAGAGAGAGAGAGAGACAGAGAGAGAATATTAGATAAAGATTATTTTATCCACAGATTCACTCCCTTGATGAACACAATGGCCAGGCCAAAGCTACGAGCCAGGGACTCATTCCAGATCTCCCACATGGGTGGCAGGAGTCCAAGGACTGGGGTTGTCTTCTGCCCTCCTGTGCGCTCTAGCAGGGAGTTGAATCGAGCCGAAGAGCCAGGATTCAAGATCATAAGTCCGATATGGGAAGCTGGTGTCCCAAATGCTTTTAACCCTCTGAACCACACCTCCAGATCCACTCAGATCTGTCCAGCATCAGACAGAATCTACTTTGTGTTATTGATCATTAATCTCATTTTCACACGAAATTTGCACTAGTAATGGCTCAGGGAATGCTGACAAATGGGGAAGCATGGCTCTGAGTCTGCCTTGGTGGAGCGTGGGGCTTCCTAGGCAGGGAGGTGTAAGTCCATGGTGGCGGCAGCAACACAGGGGGCAGCTAGGGAGCAGCAGGTGGCGGGGGAGCTGGTGAGATGAGGGGCAGCGGCGCTGAAGCGTAGTTCCTCACGGGCGGCGGCAGCAGCGGTGCCTTGGAAGTGTGAGGCATCGCAGGCTGGGAAAGGTGAGTCTGCCTTGGTGGCGCGTGGGCAGGGACGTGCAGTTGGGAGGTGGCGTTGACTGTGGCAGTGTGTGGGCTAGTGCAGAGAAGCAGGCAGCAGCGGAGAGGCAGTGGCGAAGAAGCCTCAGGCCACGGGCGGGGAAGTGTGGGGTGCAGGTCCCCTTGGAGCTGGGGGGAATCTTGGGTTTTCATGGCCTGCACACAGAGATGCTCCCCTCACCCTACCTTTGCATCGTGGCATCCAAGAGGAAAGGGAGGGTGAGGGGTCAATATTCTTTGGGTGCTGGTTGTCCACAGCCACTGTCTGGCAGTCAGCTTTTCCCCTGGGGACGGGCTGCCTGCTAGCAGGGAGTTCCCTGCATCGTCTGGGAACCGCCGGCTCGCAGAGTTGGTGATCCTGGTGGTGCTGGGTTGAGAGCGTCCAGGTGTGGGCAATGCAGATGGAGGGCCAGATGGCGGGTGTGCCAGGACCAGCCTCTCTCGCCTGGAGGTTGTCGTCCACAGCATTTAGCTGGCTTTGTGATTTGGGTGCCGATGAGACTGTGGCTACAAGTTGTGGCAGGAGTGAACGTCCACTTCAGGTTGCAAGCCCAGTGTCTGACAGGGCCCTCACTATTCGTGGAGGGTCTGGGAAGCAGGAGCCGGCACACAGACTGTGGGCTGCACCCTGGGAGAGTGGCTGGGCACTCCTGTATTCCTGCTGGGACAAAATGTTGATGGTGGAATATTTTATGTATTTTAATTATTTATTTTTTGTTGTTTCCAATAAAAACTCTTACTTTGGTTTTACTAAATTAAAAGGAATAATTACCGTGCATTCTAGAATATTTTTAAGTTGATGGGATAGGCAGATGTATTTGAAATATTTTTGTCTTAGATGATTTACAGTGTGGAGGATTTTCCCTATTGTCACAGAGTTTGAGTTTCTTTAATTTTTTTTTATGTGACTGATGTGGATAGAAAATTTAAGATTATCAAGGTTTTTTTTTTTTCTTGGTTATTGCTGTTGTCATTTCCTATTTATTTCTGTTGACATGAATTGTTACTAAGCAGACATATTTTAATATTAACCAGTGAGAAAGGATTGTTTTTGGCCTGTACTCATATTATGACATCAGGACCGGCCTTCAGTTAGGCATTACAAATGAAGAGATTGGAGAGGAAAACTTTTCATAATTGTTATAATATGCTAAATGAAGGGAAAGGAAGATATGCAAAAACATCCAAGGGAGTTTTCCTTTAGTTTTGAAAGATCACCTAGTACTAGCTTTAGGCTTTTTAACAGCCTTTGGGTGCCATTCGTCAGTGCTAAAAGCTTTCTTGGGGGCACACATTTGGTGTGGGAGTTAAGTCAGTCCTTGGGATGTCTGTGTCTTGTGTTACAGTGCCAGGATTTGAATTCTGGATCCATCTCCAATTCTATGTGTTCTGGGAGACATCAGGTGATGGCTAAAGTGTCTGGGTCCCTGTCACCTACATGAGAGACTGAGTTCCTTGCTCCTAGCTTCATCCTGACCAAGTCCTAGCTGTTTGCAGGCATTTGAGGTGTGAGGGAGTAGATAGGAGGGCTCTCTTTGCCTTTCAAATCAATGAAGTTAACATTTTTTCAAAAATGTGATTTTTATATTGAAAATGTATTTCAGAAGCACATACTGATACATGCCTGCACACACACACACACATAATGCAAGAAACAGATATAAAGAGGACTCCCATCTGTTAGTTCACTTCCTAATTCCCACACCTGCTGGTCCTGAGACTGGCTGAGTTGAGGAGTTGGGAACTCATTCCATGTTTCCCACACGGGTGATGGGTGCCCAAATGCTTGAGCCATAACCATTTCTCCCCAGGTCCACAATACAGGAAGCTAGAGTCAGGAGCCAGAAACAGGTACTTGGTTTCTTGAGCTGTCACAACTGCCTTATAGGTCCACATTAATAGGAAGCTAGAGTCCGGAGCTGGATGTGGATACTTAACCCAAGTACTCGTAGTGTGGAATGAGGTGACTTTAATTGGCATGTTAACCTATGTTTCAAAGATTTTTTCTTGTGACATCATGTGTAGTTTTTGGAATATATGCAAATACATACTGAGCTATCTTGGGGGTAGAACCCAAGTCTACACATGAAATTCATGTGTGTCTCATGCACACCCCTTATGCCTAGCCAGGAGGTAATTCATGTAATGGTTTTAGCATACCTGCAGTTTGAGTGTCACCTGTCACATAAGGTCAAGTGTGGGATTTGCTACTTGAAGCATCATGTTGTCCCCCAAAGAGTTTTTTTGGGTTTTGTATTTCCATGTTTGGGATGCTCAGACTGTAGGTAAAGACATGCATAGCCTCCAGTCTCTTTGTCTTCATGAATGTAATGAGTGCTTTAATCTTCCCCTGTGTGTTGATCGCCTGTGGTAGGTAACCAGTGCCTCTGTGGTGGTTCCAGTGGAAGTACTGTGTTGTCCCTGTTTGTCCAGGGAACAAAGTGCATGCTGCAGATACAACACTGATCCTGTACTTAATTTCTTTCTTCCTCACTTTTGTTGCTGGAGGCATTAGAGCTCTGGTTGCAGCCTTGACCATCAGTTTCAGGAGTTCATTTGCCAAGAGTGATTTTAGGAAGTTGTTTTTTTTTTTGCTGGGGAAGTCTTCGTGAGATTCACTCTTTTTTTTTTTTTTTTTTTAAATTTATTTATTTTATTGAAAGGTATGGGTAGGGAAAGGGATATTGCTTTTCCATATTGGTTCACTCTGCAAATGGCTGATATAGCCAGAGTTGGGTCAGGCCAAAGCCAAGAGCCAGGAACTCCACCCCAGTCTCCCATGTGGGCGGCAGGGACCCAAGCATTGGGCGTAAGTTACCATCTACTGCCTTCCAAGGCACCTTAGCAGGAAGCTTGACTGGAAGCAGAGCAGCTGGGATTCCTACTGGCACTCTGTAGGATGGCAGCGTCACAAGCCATGGTTTCACTGGCTGTGCCATGATGCTGGCCCTGGGATTCGTTGTTTATCTAGAGAAAATGGGAAGATTAGTGTAGAGATCTCCAATTATTTATTAGTCAAGGACTGGGAATGCAATGTGCTTATGTTGCCACCTTGTGGAGGCTAATGAAATAGAAAATTAATACAAAGTCCTAATGAAGGGATATTGAAGATACTGTTTTGGTGTGTTAATGTGAGCCAAGAGGGGGCCGGAGCTGTGGCATAGTGGGCTAAGCCTCTGCCTACAGTGGCAGCATCCCTTATAGGTGCTGGTTCGAGTCCCAACTGCTCCTCTTCCAATCCAACTGTCTGTTATCACCTGGGAAAGCAGCGGGAGATGGACCAAGTGCTTAGGCCCCTGCACCAGCATGAGAGACCCAGAAGAAGCTCCTGGCTCCTGGCTTTCGCCATTTTGGCCATTTGGGGAGTGAACCAGCGGGTGGAAAAACTCTCTTTTTCTCTCCCTCTCTTTCTAACTCTACCTTTCAGAGACACAAATTGAAAAAAAAAAAAAAGATCCAAGAAGCCTTGTCGTTTGCACTGAAATCCTGTGGCTGTCCAGTGCCATGTTCTCTGTGTTCTGCAAGCGGTTTGTGCTGCTGGACTGAAATGGGCACACTTTCATGACTTCTCTTGCAGGCCTCAGACACGCCCACCCTTCAAGGCCTCTCCTTCACCGTCAGACCCGGGGAGCTGCTGGCTGTGGTCAGCCCTGTGGGAGCAGGAAAGGTAAGTCCTCGGGCTGCGTTTCTGGAGCTGAGTCCAAAGCTGCATGTAACACAGTTTTATTTGGCATATCTGGAACGGCATTTCTAGTCCGTCCATGGAACATGGGTTTGCCAAGAAGGTCCCATGGCCACACATAGAGGATCTCCAAAGAGTTCATGGAAAATGTGTGCTATTAAAAAAAAAAAACAACCTGTATATGTTCCAATTTTTGCACTCAAGTCAACTTGTTTTCTTTTTCAATTTTTGAGAGACAAAAGATACAAAGAGGAGAGAGAGTGCGCCCATCTGCTGGTTCACTTCTCAAATGCCTGCAATGGCGTGGGCTGGGGCCAAACCTGGGAACTGGCAATAGCATGCAGGTCTCCCATGTGTGTGGCAGGAGCCCAGTTACTTGAGCCATGGCTGCTGCCTCCCAGGTTCACACCAGCAGGAAGCTGGAGTCAGGAGTTGGGGCTGTAACGGAAGCCAGGCTCTGCCAGACAGACTGCCCCCTCCCTAAACCTTCCTTTTAATTTCATTTTCCATGGACTCTTTGGAGTAAAGCTGTTCTGTGGCTGTAAACATTATTAGTTAGTCTTTGCCCCGTATAACCTTTCACTGGGGGGAAACTCATTTGTAGAGTAGGTTGTTAGACCCTTTTGTTAATATGCTTTATAGACCATTCTTTTACATCAGCCTGCTACTGTTATTTTCAGTGTGTGTGTGTGTGTGTGTGTGTGTGTTTATTGCAACTTCCTGTGCTGTACTTTGTCTTGCTCTCAATGAAAGAGCGGTGTTTGTCAAACCCCAAGGGCCAGGCTGGGCTGCCCCGTGTGCTGATGTCACGTGTGTTTGTGTGATCTGTTTCAGTCTTCGCTGTTGAGTGCAGTCCTGGGAGAGCTGCCCCCGAGCCAGGGCCTGGTCCGTGTGCATGGCAGAGTTGCCTGTTTCTCAGCAGCCCTGGGTGTTTTCCGGAACCGTGAGGAGCAACATTCTGTTTGGGAAGAAGTATGAAAAGGAGCGATATGAAAAAGTAATAAAGGCTTGTGCGTTGAAGAAGGTGAGTGGTGACTTGAATTTCATTCTCGAATTTTAGTGTTAAACTACAAGGTTTGTTAAGACTTTTTTTTTTTTTAAATTTGGAAGGTTTATTTATTTATTTGAAAGGCAGAGTTGCTGGCATCCCATAGGGGCACTGGCTTGTGTCCTGACTCCTCCACTTCCGATCCAGCTCCCTGCAACAGACTGGGAAAGCAAAGGAAGATGGCCTAAGTGCTTGGGCCCCTGCTACCCACATGGGAGACCCAAAAGAAGCTCCTGGCTCCTGGCTTTGGCCTTGCCCCGCACCAGCTGTTGTGTCCATCTGCAGAGTAAACCAGCCGATGGAAAGTCTCTCTGTCTCTCCCTCTTTGTAACTCTGCCTTCCAAATACATAAATAAAGAAATTTTTAAAATGAGAGAGAGACAGAGCTCTTCATTCCGATGGTTTGCTCCGCAAATGGCCACAACAGCTGAGGCCTGGCCAGGCCAGAGCCAGGAGCCAGGGGCTTCCTCCAGGTCTCCCACGTGGATGCAGGGACCCAGATATTTGGGCCATTCTCTGCTGCCTTTCCAGGCTTGTCAGCATGGAGCTGGATCAGAAGTGGGGCAGCCGGAACATGAACCAGTGTCCGCATGGGATGCTGATGTCACAGGTGGCAGCTTTATCCTCTGCGCCACAATGCCAACCCCTTCTTTTTAATTTGAAAAGATTCTTGAATGCTAGTTGGTGCTTAAGTTAGTCTTCTGGATAGGTACACACACATGCACAAGTATACACACATACAGACACACGTCATGTACACACTCTGTATGTTTTATTCCTTTTCCTGATGTAATGACATTTACAGTTTGTTTCTTTTTTGGGGAGGAGGAGGCTTTTTTTTTTTGAAGCTTTAATTTTAACTTTTTAAAAAATGGACAATTAGAGCCTGAACAGTGGAGAGAAGACTGTGTGGAGGCTTCACGTGCCTGTCTCGAAGCTTGAAATGGAATTAGCTGGTGGCCAATCTCGCCTCCTCCCTAGCCCGTCGGTTATTGTGAAGGGGGTCTCAGACCTCACAGTATTTGGTCTGTAACTATTTTATTGTTTTTCTGTAGCAGATAACTCATTTAAAAAAATCATAACAACTTATAAAATGATCCACATTCCTTGAGATGGTCAGCTTACTCAGTGGTGTTGACGCATATTCAGTGAGCGTATTATGAAACCTCTACCCTCACTGGTTTGGCTCAGATGCTCACGCTGGGCCCATGTCCCCAGGGCCCCTTTGTGTTCACGTGTTGCCCTTTCTGCTTCCTATTTTACTTGAGGGACTCCCAGTCTCCAAACACAAACTCACGACAAGGAGAAGAGACATTATTAATGACCCTGATTTGATCAATACAGTTATTGAAATAGCATGCCACACAGTTACTGTTAATCAGATTTAAAACTTTCAGAGCTGGAACCTGGTTTGCTCACCACATTGGTTACAGGTATCAAATGATCACACTGAACTCTATAAATATGTATGATCATATAATAATGAGTATAAAAATATATAAGTATGTAATTATACAATAAAATAGTGAAATGTAAATATTTGATTATGTAAAGTGATAAATATATAATGATATGTAATTACATATAAATATCTAATTAAAACAGCAAAGCAATAATAATAAAGGAAAATGAAAGGCTTTAACTTTTTTTTAACATGCATCATTTTATCAGTAGTGAGGTTGCTTTCAGAAATGACAGTTTGTGGGGCTGGCACTGTGGTGTAGTGAGTAAAGCTGCCGCCTGCAGTGCTGGCATCCCATATGGGCACCGGTTCAAGTCCTGGCTGCACCACTTCTGATCCAGCTCCCTGCTCATGTACCTGGGAAAGCAGTGGAAGATGGCCCATGTGCTTGGACCTCTGCACCTACGTGGGAAACCCGGAAGAAAATCCAGGCTCCTGGCTTCAGATTACCCCAGCTCCAGCCATTGCAGCCAATTAGGGAGTAAGCCAGCAGATGGAAGACCTCTCTCTCTCTCTCTGCCTCTCTGTAACTCTGCCTTTCAAATAAATAAAATCTTAAAAAAGATGACAGTTTGGAAGACAATGGTAAGATGAAATGTGTAATTACTTACTGAGATTTAAAGAAAATTGGTGATGCTGAATGGAAACTGAACACACAGCTAGGAGAATGCAAGTTAGGAAAAGGAAGAGAAGGCCACCGGGAAAATTCTGTGTTGCCCCCTTTGGGTGGTGGAGCTCGGGGAATGATGGCATCAGAGGGCTTTCTGCAGGGTCTGCCCAGTGGCCTGGCCGTCTGGCTGTTCTCTTATACCTGTGGGTAGGGCCGTAGACACTGCCAGAGGTGTAGCATTGAAAGCTCCTAACCAGCTTTGCAAGGAAGGAGTACATTTGTTTGAAAGTTGCCTTGAATCTCAGATTGTATCAGGTGGGCAGCATATTTTATGATGATGTGGACAAAAGATATAATTGCTGTTTAATGGGCTTTTATTGCCTTCCGCCGGGTTATTGTTCATGAGAGATAATGTGTTCTTAGACATGACATCGAGATAGTAGTGATGAACTTGATTTTTATTAAATGGAATATATCCCTCATAAGAAAAGAAGGGGGAAGCAGATGTAGCCCAGTCTTCATCCCATTTGTTCAGGGTCCACCGTGTGCTAATCCCCACCCCGGCCCCATGTCTCACACATGCACATACAAAGATGTATGAATGCTAACCCCTTTCCACAATGTCTTTGATGCTTTTTTTCTTCGTTTGGGAAGACAGTGGCTTTGAGAACTGAAGTGACTCAGCTCAGCATTTGCAGTTCAAGTTCAAATGCACATCTGCACAGGTCCAGATGCCCCCTTCCCCTGCGCCCTGCCACCTCTCAGTTGTGGAACTGTGTGTGATTAAACTGGGTGATTGAAGAATGTGGAAGGCAGAGAAAACAGATCCCAGGCTTTTCCTCTTACCTGGATCGGTTATGCTCAGGTCAGGCCAGCCCTGCTCTCGCCCTCCCCATCTGTGGACATCTGGGTCCCAGTGTCTCAGCAGGTGCTGGGGCACTGGCTGTGTTCAGTATCTCCCACGGCCGCCGGTCTGCGTCTTTAGCTACCTTGAGGCATCTGCATGGCACAGACTCCTGTGCAGAAGGGGTCCCCCGCAGGGCAGGGCTGCACAGAGACTTGGAGGGTGGTGCTTCTCTGTTTTGGTGTTAACAAAGCTAACCCTGCACTGCGGAGGGACGCATGTTCTCCTTGTACTCATTCCCCTCCTTGGCAGGAAGCCAGGCCCAGGGTGCAGAAGCACAGCAGAGCCAGAGGCTGCCCTGGCCTTGTCTCGCGCTGGCTGGCACGCTGGGCCTGTGACTGCTGGTGTGTCTGCTGCCGAACCCGAACGCTCACTTAGACGATTTCCTCAAGGATGGCTGTGCTCAGAGCTGACTCGCTGTAGCAGCAGTCATCGAGGTCTCTAAGAAATCGGGGAGGCGCTCAATGAGTTGTGCGGTCCTCTGTCAGTCTCCTTTCTGAATCTGTGTGTCAGGGGGCGGGCATAAGGTGGTCACAGATGATAGACACCTCATGGAATTATCTGTGCCTGTAGGTGCAGAGACTGAAGATGGAATAGGAAAGGCTTGGTGTTAGAGGAAGCCAGGAGCTCCCCGGGTTTGCCTCAGTTTCCTTCCTTGTCAGTGGGGGAGGTTGGGTATGACTGGATTTCAGGCAATGCATGGAGATTTTGGTCAGTGGTATTTGTCACTATTATAGCGCCTTTCTCTAAATCCATCAGTAAGGAACATGGAGTAAAGCTTGCTCCTTAAGCTCCCTTTTGCCCCTCCTAAAACAGAGCAAAGCAAGATATCTCATATCAGATCAGGGATAATAAATAGGTGCATCACTGTAGATCTGATTAAGGTAAATTTATGAGTTAATTGAACTAAAAACACGTAGCCACGTCTTTAGGCTGATTACATTTTAAAGTGAATTGTGGTGAGTTATGGGGCATTCCTCAGGACACGGTGTAATAATCTTAGGAACGTTGCGAGGAGCAGTTAAAAGCCGAGGCCCCGGGTCAGACAGCTCTGGGGTTGAGCCTCCGTTGCTCTTCACTGAGTGTGAGATTCTGCCTAAGTGTCTCAACTTGCAGTTACAGGTTGCTTCTTCCATAAAGTGGAGATAATAATAACATCCATCGCATAAGGCTGTCATGAGGACCAAATGTGACCATGAATTTAAAGTCCTTGGTTGCCAGGGATGTCATGGGCCTGCTATAAATGTTAGCTCCTAATTGTAAGGGCTATTAATTTTGGGGCCAAATCACATAAAACAGGACATGTTAGGAAGAATGTGTCTTGAGTATGCAACTTCTAGTATTTGAGTTGATTTCTGCCTTAAGTGCTTCATACACAGTACAGTAACAAAGCCAAGGATAAAAAGTCCCCATACTAAACACAATGCATGATGTAACATTGGCATGCGTGGTATTTTTTAAGCCTTGAGCACTTTTTAGAACATCCAAGCAATTTGTATACAAGGGTATGACGCTGAAAAATTCAGGTTTAGTATTTTCCTGTGTACATCACTGGAATTTATGAACTCCACTGGGCACCTGCAGGCTTCTAGTTCCTTTTCATATTTACCACATTCCTGGCAACGTGGACGCGTTCTTTTCAATCTGCCTTGACAAGTGTAGTATAATTATTGTTATAGCTTGAGGTTTTCTTCTCTCAGCTGGGATAACCATATCATTCCATGGCGACATCATAGGAAATAAGAAATGCTTTCTGGGGCTGGCATTGTGGCATAGCGAGTTAAGCTGCCACCTGCACTCCGGTATCCCATATGGCTGCCTGTTTGTGTCCTGGCTGCTCCACTTCAATCCATCTCCCTGCTCATGTGGCTGGGAAACAAGTAGAGGATGAGCCGAGTAATTGGGCCCTTGCCACCCATCTGGGAGGCCTGGATGAAACTCCTGGCTCCTGGTTTGGCCTGGCCCAGCCTGTTGCAGCCATCTGAGGAGTGAACAAGCAGATGGAATATCTTTCTCTCTGTGTCTCTTCCTCACTGTCTGCAACTCTGCCTTTCAAATAAATAAATCTTTAAAAAAAAGGCTTAGAGTAAAAGGAATGTGAACCAAATTTAAATGTGGAGACTAAGTTTCTTGATATGTCTGTGTGTGAATACAGATGTCTGAATTTTGAGTTGTTTTAGTATTGCCTTCATGAATGTGACTTTCAGTACCTGCAGAGGGTAGCGTAATGAGGAACAGCAGAAGAGTGTGAACTTGGTTTGCGTTCTTGCCCTCCCAGGGAGTCGCATCACTTGCCTACCTTCCTTCTGTCTCCATTTGACCATCTGTGAAATGGAGCAATACTTACTTTGCAGGTGGTTGTGGGGCCTGGAGATAATATCAGCCACTGGGAGCCATGCTTGGTGCCTGGTTCCTGCCACGTGGGAGCTGGTTGTACTGGGGAGATAAGCCTGGCATACGCACAAGATCTGTGATGCAGAACAGGGCCAGTCCTTTGTGAGCAACAGAAACAGAGCTATTGGAACTCAGTGGACAGAGAGCTGCTTTCTGACGGGAAACACAGGGATGGTTTCAGAGGAGAGGATGGAGATGCGGCGAGACAAACTGTGATGGGAAGGGCAGCTCCACATCAGGAGAAGCTGTGGACAGCGGCGTGAGTGCCCTGCTGCCTGGATCTGGAATTACCCCCTGCCCAGGCCTCGTGTCTGACCCTAAGGAGCCATTCTGGTGGTCTCCCCAGTGGGATTTCACCATCGCTGAAGGATGCTGGTTGTGTTTCTGTTCTGTTGGTTCAAAGCCCACAGAGCCATCTCTTGATTTCTCTCTGCTTGTGTTACGTGTCTGCTTTTTTAGTGAGAGCGTGTTATAGAGCAAATGTGGTTAAATTTTAGTTAAATTTAAATACTGGGGCCAGTATTGGCTCACTTGGTTAATCCTCTGCCTGCGGCGCCGGCATCCCATATGGGGCCAGGTTCTAGTCCCGGTTGCCCCTCTTCCAGTACATTCTCTGCTGTGGCCCGGGAAGTCAGTGGAGGATGGCCCAAGTGCTTGGGCCCTTGCACTCGCATGGGAGACCAGGAGAAGCACCTGGCTTCTGGCTTCGGATTAGGAAGCTGGAATCAGACTCAATCACAGCACTCTAATATGGGATATAGACATCCTAACTGCTGTCTTAACCTCTAGGCTGACTGACCACCCATGCACTGATTCTCTGATACAGTGACTCCCATGGCTTTGGGAGCCATGTGGATAGTGACAACCCCTGTGATATTTCCATGCGTCCAGCACAGACCTTCAGACCTACGTGTGTAGTTGTTACTCAGCATCACCAATAGGTATCTCACTTTGCCCTGCCCACGGTTTTGACTTTTTTTTTTTTTTTTTGCCTGAAATCCATATCCAGCATCTTCTCCAGCTCAATGCACAGCAACCCTGTGCATTGCCAAGGGCAATGTCATCCTCTTCCTCCTCTTCTCTCCCAGCCCACCCCCATCCTGCAGGCAAGGTGAGGTTTGCCTCGAATGTGGCCACGTCTGTCCATTTCCTTGTCCCCACTCTGGTCCTAGCCACAGTCCTTTCTCAACAGATTGTAGCTGGGACTGCCAACTCCTGCCCTGCTGGCACCCTTGGCCTTTACTGTCTGTCTCCCGCAGAGATAGGAGTGGTTCCTTAACCTGAGCCAGGCGGAGTAGTCGTTCTGCCTTTAGAGGGAGTGAAACTGGGACCCTCTTTGCGTCCTCTGCCCTCATCTCCCACAACTCTCCCTGCTCTGCCCCAGCTGAGCTGCCCTCTGGATTGTGCTTTGCACACCTTGGGCCTGCGTCTGCCTTTAGTCTCTGCCCTTACTCATTCCTCTACACTGCACGCCCTTCCTCCCGGCCTGCCCTCTACCAGGGCTCTGCTAGACCCATTGACCAGAGCCCTTGTGGACTAGACCCTGTATATATTACCTGTCTCCTGTGTGGAAGCTCTAGGCCCTTGGTTTCCTTCACTGCACTCAGAACCATGCCTGACCTAGTGCTGAAGCCCAGTGGATCCTGTTAAAATGGTGAAGTGCACAGAGCTCTGCTAATCTACAGCATTAAAATCAACAGTACGCCCGAGAGATTTTTGGAATGGTTCAATGTTACGATTTAGCCACCATGGAATACATGCATTGCTGTTGATCAAATCCAAATTGATTTCTCAAAAACAACTGATGGTAGTGGGAGAACTACTTTACGGCTCCCCCTCACCTTGTCTTGCTCCCTGTAGGATTTGCAGCTTTTGGAGGATGGGGATCTGACAGTGATAGGAGATCGGGGAGCCACGCTGAGCGGAGGGCAGAAGGCGTGGGTGAACCTGGCCAGGTAAGCCGCCTCTCGGCCGCCTGCACACTTTCACACTGCTGCTGGAGGTCACGGGCACGTTGCGCCCACTTGCTGCGTGGTGGGCGCATGTGAAAGGCGGGTCGTGCTTTATTGGTTGGTGCTGGGTAGCACAGTGGTGGAACACTGTCATGATTCCTAGGTGCGAGCTGGGAGGGGACACTCTTCCTCGTCTGGGGTCTCTTCCCTTTTCCAGGGCAGTGTATCAGGACGCCGACATCTACCTCCTGGACGACCCTCTCAGTGCGGTCGATGGGGAAGTCAGCAGGCACTTGTTCCAGCAGTGAGTTGAACCTTGTTTTATGCCATTTCTGCTTTCCAACAACCATCCAGGGTCAGCTCAGGAGAGCCTTTGTGGCTTCATGAAATTCAGCTCCTCCTGCCTGGGGATACCCCCAGTCCCACCTGGAAGATCCACATTAGGGAACAATTTTGCACAAATAGGAGATCAAGGTAGGAAGGTGCACAAGAGGATGGCAGTGAGCAGAGAACATGGTTAGGGATTTGAGAGCCAGATGGCAAACTGGGCCCACTTTGTAGCTTCTGCTTGAGTTGCTTACCTGGAAACTGTGGCTGGAAGAATAAAGATGGCGTAGGCTGCTTCAGTTGAGGGATGGACTTGGCAACCTGGCCCTGGGCTTTCAGTTCTTTCCTTCCTGTTTGATTTATGGTCATCACAAGTAGGGATTTTAGGGCCAAGAGAGAGCTCCTGTGGAAAGGCCTGGAGGACTTACTAACCTGTAGATTTGGAAGTAATTAGTGAAACCTGGAGTTTTAGAATGATTTCTTCCGTATCAGAGTATGGCTTGAGAGTTTCCCGTTGCTTTGTGGATTCTTAGCAGAACTAACACTTAATGACCCCTAGACGTGGAGTATTAGCTTGCATTTGAAACTAGGTCTGTGGAATCTGGCTGGACTCCTGATTTTTCACTGGGTGTTTCTGGAATTTGTTTTCTTTGGCTCTTGTTTAGCCACTGAGCCATGAGGTAGAATGACTCAGTAATGTTTTCTGTGTGTACTGTAATCGAAGGTGCTGACTGACACTTCTTCTGTGGTTTAGATTGGCTTTTGTGAGAGCATGGTGAACTTGATCTTGCTTAAATAGCGTGCAGAAGGACCAGTGTTGTGGCACAGCAGGTTAAGCTGCTGCTCGCAATGCCGACATCTTATATCACAGTGCTAGTTTAAATCCTGCCTGCTCCACTTCTGATCCAGTTTTCTGCTAATGTGCCTGGGAAAGCAGCAGAGGATGGCCCAAGTACGTGGGCCCCTGCCTCACACATGTGGGAGACTTGGATGGAGTTCCTGGCTCCTGGCTTCAGATTGGCCCAGATTTGGCTGTGGCATTTGGAGGGTGAATCAGTGGATGGAAGATTCCTCTTTCTCTCTTTCTCTCAGTGTGTGGTGTGTGTGTGTGTGTGTGTGTGTGTCCTTCTGCCTTTCAAATAAATAAACCAATCTTTCTTAACAACTTCTAAATAAATAAATAAGCAGCATCCGTATTTGTCCCTCAATTGGCTTTGTGTGTGTGGTTTACCTTGTTAATCCCAGTGTACCCTTTCAGCTGAGCCCCAGTTGGCTCTGATGGATGCTGTTCCTCAAAACATCTTCATTTACTAAAGGATGACAGAAAGCTATGGAGAAGTTAAGGACCCAACTGGACAGAGAAAGAGACCCAAAGAAATGTAGATCTCGTTCTTGCCTTTTAAGAAATTTCTACCAGGGCCAGCGCCATGGCTCACTTGGTTAACCCTCCGCCTGTGGCACCAGCATCCCATATGGACGCTGGTTCTAGTCCTGGTTGCTCCTCTTCCAGTCCAGCTCTCTGCTGTGGCCTGGGAGGACAGTGGAGGATGGCGCAGGTGCTTGGGCCCCTGCACCCGCATGGGAGACCAAGAGGAAGCACCTGGCTCCTGGCTTCGGATCGATGCAGTGCCAGCCGTGGCAGCCGTTTGGGGGGTGAACCAACGGAAGGAAGACCTTTCTCTCCCTCTCCCTCTCCCTCTCCCTCTCTCTCTCTCTCTCTCTCTCTCTCTCACTGTCTATAGCTCTACTTGTCAAAAAAAAAAAAAAGAAAAGAAATTTCTACCTGGAGCTGATCAGGACAAGTAGGCCTAAGAGAATTTTAATACAGGGCAGTCCGTGCTAGGTGGAGGAATAAGTGGGCAGCTCTAGGCTGGTTTTAGAGGGCACGATGTGGGCTGGGCTCAGCAGGAAGTGGCCAAGCCTGTGGCCCTGCAGGCTGGAAAGGGTTTGTAGAGGCTGTGAAGAGGATTCAGCTCCTTGTGGCAGAAGGAGCTGTAGAAGCAGAGATGCAGAGACGATAGCAAGCAGAGTGCATGATTGGAACAGCAAGCAGACAAGTCTTCCCGGAGTGGAGGACGTGGGTTTTGCAGCAAAAAGGATGTTTGGAGAGGCTCGTGGGGAGGTGCCGCATAGGCCACGGGGGCAGCTGAGAAAGAACGCTGCACACCAGGAGGCTTAAACAGCTGGATTCTGTGTTCTCACCGTTCTGGGGGCTGCAAGCCCAAGATCAAAGTGTCAGCAGGTTTGGTTTCTGCCGAGGCCTCTCGCTGGCTTACCAGGAACCACCGCCTCGCATCCTCCCGTCTCCTTTCCTCCTCCAGTGTCTGTGCCCAGGTTGCTCTGCCTCACAGGTCATCAGTCAGGTTGGAGCAGGGTGCACCCTTGTGGCCTCGTTTTGACTTGCCTTTTTAAGGGTCCTGTCTCCGAATTCTAAGATAGCAGGAATTATGGCCTCACCTAAGCAATTTAGTCCGTATCAGTTGTCCCATGTAGCAAAGTGATGAAGGATTTGAGCAGAGTTAGGGTAGCATACAAAGGGACTTCAAAAAGTTCATGGAAGTGTACCAGTCTTTTTTAAAAAATCATTTATTGATTGATTTAAGAGACAGAAAGCTCCCATCTATCTGCTGGTTTACCCCCCAAATGGCCACGACCACCCAAGTCAAAGCCAGGAGCCAGGAACTCAGTTCAGATCTCCCACGTGGGTGGCAGGGACTCCACTGCCTGTTGCTTCTTAGGGTCCCGTTAGCAGGAAGGTGGGCCAGCACTGGGGGTTAAGCCCAGGTACTCTGATAGGAGATGCATACATTTTAGATAATGTCTTAACTGCCAGGCCATACTCCCATACTCCCCATTATCTTTTATTTTATTTATTGCAAAGGCAGAGTTACAGAGAGGCAGAGGAGAGAGAGAGAGAGAGAGAGAGAGAGAGAAAGAGGTTTTCTGTCTGTTGGTTCACTCCCCAATTGCCACAACGGCCAGAGCTGGGCCAATCGGAAGCCAGGAGCCAGGAGCTTCTTCCAGGTGTCCCACGTGGGTGCAGGGGCCCAAGGACTTGGGCCATCTTTTACTGCTTTCTCAGGCCATAGCAGAGAGCTGGATCAAAAGTGGAACAGCCAGGACTTGAACTGGCACCCATATGGGATGCCAGCACTGCAGGAGGTGCCTTTACCTGCTATGCTAGAGCACTGGCCCCTCCCGTTATCTTTTAATTCAGTTCACCCACAGCCTTTTGGAAGCCCCCTTAGGTTGCCAGGATAGATTCTAGGGGTTGGGACATGAGGTCTTCCACGAGTGTGGGGCTCCAGTTGGGGCTCACTAGACATGTCCCCATCAGAGTGTGCTTGGGAAATGTGCCTGGAATTGGGATGACGAGAAAGTTCTAGAAGTAAATGGTGGTGATGGTTGCCCAGCAGTGTGAATGTACCTCATGCCACCATGTGCTTATACATTGTGAAAATGGTAAATTCTATTTTACCGCCACAACAAAAAACCAGTGTGGTGGCGTTGCGTCTTCCAGAAGGCAGAGAGCAGAAGCAGCTGGCCCTGGTCCTTGCCCTTAGCTCTCCTCTCTGTTCCTTCCCGCCTGCGTGCTCCTGGGTGTGCCTTGTTGGGTTTTCCTGTGGGCAGAGCAGGGCTTTTGTGGCTTGCATGAGCCATGTGCGGGTCCACTCGAGTTCTCCATCACTTGCAGAACAGCTCCTGATGGGACGTGGTGTTTGCCTCTTGGGAGGGGAAGAAACGTGTTCTGATTGCTGGGTGTCTGTATGCATGTCACAGATGCTCCCCAAGTTTTTCTGCGCACACAGGAGGGAGTTATAATGTCCTCTTGCACCTTGAAGGTTTAATGCCTTTGAATATACACTTGATAAGAGTAAGCTTGTTAGAACGGTTGTTTGCTGATCACAGCCACATTCTTTGGGGAAACTTGGAGCAGGGAGCACGAATGCAATTTAGGAAATCACTCAGGAGAGTGTTCTCAACGAGTTAGAAAATTGGATTGAACCATATGCTATGAAAGATGATGGTTGTGTTGAAGCTTAGGAATGTGAAGTGTTTTGTATAAAAAGTGAATGAATTACACTTCTATTTGCCATTAACAGTTTTACTTCAATTGTGGATGTACATCCACGGTTATGAAGGTCTGTGAGTTTTACAACTATATGTTGGAAACGTTAGTGGGCCCTTATGACACTGATGCCAATCAGATCTGCTGCGAGCTTTCAGTCTTGTTCCATTTTGGAAAGCCTCAAGCTCTTGGCCGCAGGCAAAATGAGTTCTGCGGGTCTGTCTTGATAATTAGGTCACCTACACCCACTTGTGTGTGCAGGCTGAGACCAGGTGCCTTGTAAGGAGCAGGAATGCGTGTCTCACAGTTCTGGGGGCTGGGAAGTCGAAGCTCAGGGCCACGGCCAGTCTGGTGTCTGCTCCAGGCTCATCGTGGTCCATCAACAACCCTCTTTCCTGAGGCCTCCTTTATAAGGAGGGCTAATCCCATTCATGAGGGCAGAGTTCCATGAAAAGACCCCTCCTCCAGGTGCCTTCCCGCTGGCGACTAGGTTTCAACAAGAGACTGTGTGTGTGTGGTGGGGGTGGGGGGACATGAACATTCAGACCTCAGCACTGGTTCACCTGTCCTGATTCAGTCCTTCCTAGGCTTTGCTCACCTTCTGGGTGCAGCACCAGGCCCTCAAATGGCAAAGACTTCTGTGCAGCCCGCCCCCATTCGGCTTTGCTGTCCTTCCGCTCCCAGCCAAGGCGACCTGTGGAATGCCAGAGTCAGGCATGCCTGTTCTGTCGTCTGCCTGTCTGCACGCTTGCTGTTCATTCTGCTTATGCCAGAGCCATGGAGAAAGGAGGATGCAGACCCCACCCACCTGCCTTTCCCTTCTGTGCCTGCAGGGGGCAGTGTGCCCTTCCTTTGGGCCCACAGCCCTCCACGGGTGGCTCGCCATCTGAATTAAATGAGTCACTGCTGATTTAATCAATGTGTTTATGACAAGACTTGGAACTTTTTTCCCTTAAATATTTGGGCCGTGTTTTCCTGGAGATTTTGCAAAAACATATAGTTTAGGAAAATTTTAAAGTCATCAGTCACCATGTTATTTCAGTTATTTATGTGATTTTTGTAGATGATGGAAGATCCGTGGCAGAACAAGTTTTAAAACCTTAAACTTGACCCTTCTTGGACATGGCTGCCAATCACCTATCAGATTTGATGGTTAACATCTCCCTTCAAATAGTTATAAAGAGGGATTTATGGCAGGTGATTTTGAATTATGGATAAACAATTCCATTCAAAGCTTGAGTGCTAAGCCTGAATAGGGATTTGCTAGGTTGAGAAACTTAGGTATGAAGTCAGCCAAGTTAAGACATGTCTAGAGGGAAACGCTAATCATTGTGGATTGAGAGATCTAGAGGGAAATGTTAATCCTTATGGATTGAGAGAATGGAGCCCTAGTTTGTGCCTCTACGTCAGGGGCTTGGTTCTGATCAGAGGCCTGGTCCCCAGAGTGCCCTCCTAGGGCTTTTTCACCCTGAATGAGAAGCAGATGGTTAGCTGTGGCTTAGGGGAAGAGTGGACCAGTGATGCTGACAGTAGTGTCGGGCGTCAGTTGTATTCTGGGCCTTTTTCATGGCTTAGTGCTTTTATTTCCCAGAACATGAAATAAGTTGACCCTAGTAGCCTCATTTTAAGATGGAGTAACTGAGGTTCATGAAGGCTTAGTAGCTCACCCAACATTGCCAGGGTGGAAGGTAGACCAGGGTTCTATCTTTGATCTGACCCCCTCAGCAGGTTGCCTTGGAACCCATTTTCCTGACTTTTTGCTCTGCGCAGGGCCCTGCAAACCTGGAGTCTATGCTGGGAGCGCAGGCTGTGGTCTCTGAGTCTTGTATGCCAGGCTGCTTGCTCCCCTGGGAGTGGGGGCTGGGACTGAACTCTCAGTCTGCATTTAACACACAGGAACACTCGCAGGAGCTGCTTTGGAAGAACTGTAAGGTTGAATATTGAGGTGCCTCTTGACCTTTGACTCAGTGGATAGAGGATGTTACATTCGGAGCGTTTGGGTTCAGTCCTAACAAAAGAAAGCAGGCTCCCTGGCTGGGCCTGGAGTATTGTGGAGCCTTCCCAAGGCCTTACCAGCATTTTTTTTCTCCATTATTTAGGAAGAGGGGCCTGGAAAGTACACTCTGGCAGAGGTTATTGAGGAATCTCACGCTTGTGTATGTGTGGCTCCTATGTCCATCCTGAGTCACCCACAGGAAGCTGGCCGAGGCACTGATCTCCCTCTCCCCTTTGTCACACCGCAGTCAAATCATTTGTATTTCTGATAAGTGAGGTTTTGGAATCTCAGTGCTGTTTGATTTTCATCCTGAGATACATAAATAGATCTCAGGCTGACTTTCAGAAAGAAAGCTTAGTGGTCACTACTTCCTTTGCCAGCCTGCTGTCTGGAATTTCTCAGCAGAGCAAGGCTCCTGTTTGCTATGGTGAGACTAAGGATCTGGTCAGCTCCCTTGATGTGTACCGTGTTCAGTGTGTATTCACATTTGTATGTAAACTATGCATCTTTGACTGCTGTGTTGTCTTTTTTCTCATTACGGCTTTCCGGTTTGGAGCACCCTTACTAACGTGTCTGTGCTGTGCCTCTCCCATTTCTAGGTGCATTTGTCAAACCTTGCATGAGAAGATCACCATTGTAGTGACTCATCAGTTGCAGTACCTAAAAGCTGCAAGTCATATTCTCATATTAAAAGATGTAAGTAATTTCTGGAAGTCTGCGACACTCACTAGCACTCCAGTGTGTTGAAGGAGGATACTCCCAGCAGGCTCTCTGCCTTGGGCCGTGTGGGGAGCTTCCTCTTCCTCCCGGGTTTCACAACCCTCATGCCTTTGAGGATGAATTCAAAGCACTATAATGGCTCCAAAGTATATCGGACTGTGGCATCACATTTATGAAATTTTAACAGTTCTAGTGAAATTGTTAATGCTGTTTTAGGGACAGCTTTTTGTTCTCCTGTAAGAACTGTCTGTGTCCTTTTGGTTGTCATACGTGGTTTGCCTAAAGAACATCCTGCGTAAGTTACAGGAACACAGTGGGACAGCTGCCAGGCAGAGCACCTGCTTCCTGGAACAGCCCATGCCTGGTCTCACTGAGTACCGGTTTGTCGGGGAGTCTGTATAGCAATAAGTGAGACCACTCCTTGCCTTGTGGCCCTTTCGTGCTCTCTGGGAATACATGCTATGAAGGAGAAAGGGTGGGGTGGCCACATGGGGACCCGAGGGACAGTAACATGAGGGTGCTGGCTCTGCAGTCACCTGGGAGAGGTGTAGCTGAGGCGGTGGGATCAGGCAGGGTCTTAGGGAAGGAAGTCATCTGTGTTTAGAGGGCCAGAAGGGAGGCAGCATGGCTAGGGCTGAGCAGCTAGAGCAAGTGTGGTGGCAGAGAGCTGGGCTCAGGGCGGTAGTCAGTAGATCTGGGATTGGGCTGGAAGCCATTGGATGCTCCAGAGCAGGGCAGTGGTGTGGTCTGGTTCATGGTTTTAGAAGATCCCTGTTGGAAGAGCTACAGCAGAAGCAGGTAGACTCTTAGTTTTTCAGAGAACAGAATTGTGGGCTTTGGCTAGTGTGTGAGAAACAAAGTGCCGCAAAGTGGATGACTGGAAACAGCAGGCTTTTCTTCTCTCACTGTTCTGCAGGCTTCGAGCCTGAGCCCAGGGTGCTGGCAGGGCTGTGCCCTCAGAGGGCCCTCGGCGGGACTCCTTCGCTGCCTCTGCCCCCTCCTGGGGTTTGGTGGGAATTCTTGTTCCTCAGCTCGAAGCTGCAGCTCTTCAGTCTCTGCCTCTGTTGTCCTGTGCCGAAGTCTATGTGTGCGTCTGGGTTTCTTCTTGTCAGGGGACATCAGCCATATTGGACTTAGGGCCTGCCCTACCCCAGGGTGACCGCGTTTTTAACGAGTATATCTGCAAAGATCCTATTTCCAAATAAGGTCATATTCACAAAAGCTAGGGTTTAGAAGTTGAATATATCTGTTGAGGGCCAGCGTTTGACCTGCAGCAGCTAGTGTGATGGGGAGGTGGGGGTCAGTGGGGATCCTTGTTGGCCTCCGTGCCTCGGCACCCTTCATTGTCCCCTGTCTGCTCACCTGGCCCTTGGTCAAATCCCATGTAGTGGATCTGAAACCCCCTTGGTTCCTTCAAACACGATATTCCCCCTCCCACAATCTCTTAGTAAATGATGGAAATCAGAAATTCTGTTAACTAGTACACAAGCTGTGTGTGCACCATTGTCAGAGACAAGTTTCATGTTATTATGATAGACCAGATTTATAATGATAGCAGCATTCTTGCAAAAACGCTTAGCTCCACATGCTTACTGTGCTTCCGAGGATCACCAAGGAGCCTGCCTGATGCGTGTCCCGTGACATCACCTGTACTTTCCAAACAATAGTGTGTCCCCTGGTGGGCACCCCCTGGAGGGCACCCCCTGGATGAATGGGGGTCTGTCTTCACTGTTGGTCTGGCCTCTTTTAAGAGCAGAGGGCATCACTGGCCCCTGCCACCTCTCTCTCTTTAGGAATACTGCAGGCACAGTACCAGCAGTAGTTTCCTTGCGTGTCTTGTAGATGCAAAGTAGAAAGTGACGATGCCATTGAAAAAGGTATGTGGGTTTTCCCTCCTAAGTGGATCAAGACACCATGTATTGTCAATAATGTTCTAGTTCTCCAGTTACCAAGCTGTTCCAAGTAAACCAAGGCATCATGGGATTTTTCTCAGAGGACTGCCTTAGGAATGGGAGGGCTGGGGTAGTATTGGAGTCCTGGACCCCCTCCCCCCATCTTCACCAGGGCTGATGGTCCTTGATTTGCTTTGTATCCTGGATTTGGCTTAATATTTTGGTTGCTCCTGTTGGAGTAATTCAGCTGGTTTCCTTCCACAGGGTGCAAAATGAGTGTAGATCTTTGCGCATTATTTTCTATGCCTTTGTAAGGAAGGGAGACCAAGTGATGAGGTGTCGTGTGGAGTGCTCAATTTTCAGTTAGGAAATTCCTGAGTTTGCATGGCAGTTTGGTAATAAAGAACATGAAGATGCAGCTCACAGGTTCGGTGCCCAGCTGGTTCCCAAGGTCTTCTCCCGGCAAGGCAAGAGCGTGGCCTGTGGCCACAGGGCCAGCGGAGGCTTGTTGAGTGACTCCTACCTGAGCCGATACACTGGCGCCCACCTCCCTGTCAGTTTATGTTTCTCTCCTGAAATCTCCTTCCCAGTCTACTCTGTTCCTTTGGCTCTTATCAATGAGACTTATTTCAGTTTCCTGTTCTCTGAAGAGACTCCCACAACGTCTGCACTTTTTGCTTCCTTACACGCTCGTGGTATTTTTGTCAATAACCTCATTTTCACACTTTTGTTTTCCCTCGCCCAGCACCGAACACAGGGTTCGACAGAGGACAGAATACTCAGTTATGTGTCAGGTTGAATTGCCCTAGAGTTGATTAACCAGAATTCCGGATCTAGGGATAATCTTACTTTATAAGATCAGTTCACCTCTCCTGATTATTACTAGAGTAGATTAGTGTTATCACAGGCAAAGAATCTGAAATTCTATGTTTTTATTTCAGGGAGAAATGGGAACCTATACGGAGTTTCTTAAATCTGGGGTAGATTGTGGTTCCCTTTTAAGGAAGGAGAATGAGGAAGCCGAGCCCACCCTGAGGAACCGGACCTTCTCCGAGTCTTCCGTGTGGTCTCAGCAGTCCTCTAGGCCTTCGCTGAAAGAGGGTGCCCCCGAGGGCCAGGAAGTGAGTGCCTCCCCTGCTACACTGTACGCAGGTTTTGTTGGCTGTCATTGGTCTGCCGGAGCTTTCATCTGCTCTGCTTTGTTTGTCCCAGAGTCGATTCTGGGAATGCATGCTCAATGGAATTGGTAGAGTCAACACAGATTGCAGGGGGGCCAGCCTGGCTGGGGCTGTCCTTTGGTGTGAGCTGAGCAGTCTCATGGAGAGGAGAAGTGGGTGTGATGCTGGCCAGTCCGAAGCTGTCTGTGGCTCTCCCTGATCCTGGAACTCTTGAATTACTGCAGGCAGACCCTGCTTGTTCTGGTGGCCCCCAAGCTTCCAGATGGTTCATTGAAAGACCCCCTTACACTGACCTGCTGTGGTCCACCTCTTCTGTTTGCTGGAATGTTCTCACACTAAGTCACCGATAGGATTCTTTTGCCCTATTGTCAAATAGTTTGTATTAAGCCAGAAATAGCATGTGCAAGGACACAACAACTCCTGGCACATGATAGATTTTTTTAAAAGATTTATTCATTTATTTGAAAGGCAGACTGACAGAGAGAGAGGGAGAGACAGAGGGAGAGAGCTTTTCCATCATTGGTTCACTCCCCAAATGGCTGCAATGACTGGGGCAATGCCAGGCTGAAGCCAGGAGCCCAGAGTGTCTTCCCGGTCTCCCACGTGAGTGCAGGGGCCCAAGCACTTGGGCCATCTTCCACTGTTTTCCCAGGCACATTAGTAGGGAGCTGGGTTGAAAGTGGAACAACCGGGACTCAAACTGGCACCATATAGGATGCTGGCATTGCAGACCATGGCTTAACCTGCTATGCCCCAGTGCCAGCGCCGATACCTGTTCTTTAGAGTTGTGTCATTCTCGTCTTGCTTTCTTGCCCCTCAAGAGTGGGAACCACATCTTATTCATCATTGAGTCTCCAGTGGCCACCATAGACAAGTACTTCTTCCTCTCTTGGGAATCTATAATGCACCTAACGGCCTCCAGACAGAAATGCATTAGAGCTCCCTTGGAAATGTGTTTGGGGTTTCTTCGCTATCCAAACCCTCACAGTCTAAATCCAGCAGCTTGGGTGATACACGTAGAATAGATTCCTTTGCTATGCCAATTGTTTATTACCCAAATGTACTGTGTGAGCTGCACCAAATGTACTCCCCTGGTTAATTCTTAACAGACAAGCCTGTGCTATTTTTCTTGTACCTAGAACATTGCCTTCCTTAGGAAAAGTAAACCCTTCTCATCTTCCCAGCAATTCTAGTTTCAGATACCACCTTGACCCCGGGTGGGGGAAGGGAAGGGGGAGAAATGACTTCCTCTTTAACCCTCCAGCCAAGTAGTGACCTGAGAATTCTCTCTGTATACTGCACAGCCTGCAAAGATAAGTAAGGAATGTTTAAGGATAATAAAAGCGAGATAAGCCCAGCAATTGATACGACATTTGATAATTGCCTTTTAGGAAGTGGCCAGTCCTCTGTGGCTCTAGCCCTTGCTCTCAAGCAATTCCTCCTTCATGCTTCTTGGCCTTTCTCCACGGGAGGGAGGTGTGCAGTTATCACCTAGCAGCTCATCCACACCTCCCCCTCCCCCTTCCTCCCACCCCTGCCCCTGCTCAGCTCCGTGGGAAGCTGAGTGACAAGCAGCGAGCTTTGGGTGCAGAAGGGCTTCACCAAGCTAGGCCTGTGTCCCAGTGACTCGTTCCAGACTGGAGGTCTCTTCCTGTGCCTTGGCGCCCTGCCTCGATCGTGGCGACTTAGCCTGGAAAAGCCAGCTGTGTGGCATGAGGACCCCCACACAGCCAATGAAACTTGCAAAGCAGGCAGTGTTTACGTTATTCCCTGGCCTCACTCTTTGTCAGGGTGTCCCATAACTCATTTTGTGGGGTCGAGGATGATGACATGACATGGTTTGGATAACAGTCTCTGGGCGAAAAAACCATTTCCTAAGAGTAAGTTAACTTGGAGCTGTACTGGCCTTTTCAGGCCCATTAGCGACCCATTTCTGGTCTTGGAGACCATGTAACAGATTTGGGTCCATGTAACAGATTTGAGACCAGAATCCTCTTTGTTGTTAAAGACCCCCGGTGGGATCCAATGGTGACCCACCTTAAGTGCCCCTTGTAGACTCAAGGAGCAGGCAAAGGACAGAGAAAGAAAAACATGGAGAATGGGCAGTGGGAAAGACAAGGGGTGGGAGAGACAATAGAAATAAATGATCAGTATGGAATAGAGCACACGGATGTAGCCTTCAATCTAATTACAAGAAAAGTGCTACAATGGGCAAAGTACAGAGTGGGGGGTGGCGCTGAATGATGGATAAGAAAGTATTCTGGAGCTATCTATGTGTTACATTTTATTATATTTTATTTTTTAAAGATTTACTTGACAGAGTTACAAAGAGAGAGAGGGAGAGACACACAGAGGGAGCTCTTGCATCCACTGGCTTACTTCCCAAGTGGCTGCAATGACCAGGGCTGAGCCAGGCCAAAACCAGGAGCCAGGAGCTTCGCCCTGGTCGTCCACATGGGTGTCAGGGCCCAAGCACTTGGACCATCTTTTGCTGCTTTTTCAGGCCGTTAGCGGGGAGCTGGATGGGAAATGGAGCAGCCAGGACTCAAACCGGAGCCCATATGGGATGTTGGCATCACTGTTCATCCTATGCCACAATGCTGGCCTCCAAGAGTTGCATTTTAGAGAAAGTGCAGGGGCCAGCAGTGTGGCACAGCAGGTTAAGCCACTGCCTACGATGTTAGTATCTGATATCAAAGTGCTGGTTCGAGTCTTGGCTGTTCCACTTCCAATCCAGCTCCCTGCTAACGCACCTGAGAAAACAGCAGAAGATGGCCCCAAAGTGGTTGGGCCCCTGCTACCCATGTGTGGGACCCAGACAAAGTTCCCGGTTCCTGGCTTCATCCTGGTTCAGGCTTGGCTGTCGTGGCCATTTGGGGAGTGAAGCTGATGGGAAGATCTCTTCCTCTGTCTCTGTCACTCTGCCTTTTAAGTAAATAAATAAATAAATAAATAGATCTTAAATAAACCTCGGGAGTAGAGGTAGATACAGAAGAGCCGAGGCGCCTCTGGGCAGATATGAGCATGGGCAGAGGAGAAAAGGCGTGAGGGTGGGAGATGCTCGTTTGGTCAGGGATCCACATGTGGGTGACTTCCCGTGCCCATGCCTGTCTTCTGGTGGCACTCGGGACTTAGTGACGATTTTTGGTAGAGACTGTTGGTGTCCACCGCAACATCCATTCCCTCCTCCTCCTCGATGGCAGGTCCTCCTTTTTTAAATACTTGCTGTCTCTCTTGCGGTGATGCGGACCCTTGTCACTAAGTTCGAGCCAGTGGGATATAAGTGGCGGGGACGTTGGGACACTTCCAGATGGGCTTCTCCTAGCAATCGACTCAGTTGGAAGGGACTTTGTTCTGCTTTTTCTCTTCCTGGTGAATAACACACATGTGACGGCTTGAACTCCAGTGCCACCTCGGCCCTGGTGGTGACCTTGAGTTTGCAAGTCATTTGCTAGAATCATGAAGTAGAAAGGTGGGCTCTTTGGAGCAAGATATGCAACGGGAGCCAGAACTGAATGTTTTGAGGTGACAGTGTTGAAAGTCTGGGTGAGAAGCAGTGTGTATGTATGGGAAAAGTCTGAGACACAGGTAGGGGGAGAGAAAGCCCTTAGGGAACAGTGTGGGGCCACCCCTTGTCACTCCACAATGCCCCTAGGGGTTCTCAAGAGATGGGACTAATAGAAGTCACTCCAGCCAACCAGATCTTTCTCTGGGGATGTGGGGAGGGGGCAGGGAACAGAGATTATGCCTTAAAGAAAGAAAAAAAATTGAGAAACCTAAGCCCCAAAGCAAGTTTCTGTACAACACAGAGCTGGGATGTGAATCCAGTCTGACTCCAAAGTCCACGCTTTTTCCATGGAAAACAGACGGAGGGACCCCGTGGGTTCAGAGGATGAGTGAGAGGTGTGACATTGTGGTCCCTTTTGAACCTTACCAGATCACATTGTAGGAACCTGGCTAGTTCCCAGACACAGATTAATCTCAGAATGGCTGGCTAATTTGATGAGATTATTTTCTCTACCTTTTGTGTTAGTGTGAGGGCTTTGCACTGTCTGTGTTGAAAGAGCCCTGCCCCTGACTTTCCAACCAATTTCGTTGGCCTTGATAGATTTAACCCACGAGTAGCTTGGTGAAATCATGCCAGTCATGAGAGCTTGCCTCCAAGCTTCACAAATTGGTGTGTGTGTGTGTGTATGTGTGTGTAGTGTGTGTGTGGTGCGTGTAGTGTGTGTGTGTGGTGTGTGTGTGGTGTGTGTAGTGTGTGTGGTGTGTGTGTGGTGTGTGTAGTGTGTGTGTAGTTGTGTGTGTAGTGTGTGCAGTGTGTGTGTGGTGTGTGCTCTCCTCGGGGCTGGGGGTGGCCCCTCTCAGCCGCTGCTCCGCTGCTCCGGGGAGTTTTGGATCCGCTCTGTGCTGTCCTTGACACGCTCCACTGTGGCGGATGTCCCTGGACAGCTGGATCAAACTTGTCCATCCCTGGCGGGAGACTCTGTGGAGGCCCAGCCGCACTGCCCCTCCCCTCCACGTGGCGCACCAAGGCCTGGGCCCTCTCCCCGCTCTGTCTCACAGGCCTTCTCCCAGACCCTATTTCACCAGCCGATCCTTCAAGTTCTACACCAGATACGTGCAGGAATCGCAAGGCTGGCTCTGTCGTCCTCTCGTCATCCCACACCTCCGGCCACCAAGCAAGCGAGCAGTGGGCATGGGCTGGGCGCCCTCCAGTCCAGCGCAGCTCTGCTGTCTTCTACCTGGAGGGAGCACATGTCCCCCCAGACCCCTGTGAGTCCAGCTAGCCCGAAGCCTGCTGAACCCTGACCTTTTGGGTTTTCAGGGAACCTTCATGACGGAGGCAAGATCGATTGCCTCATTGGCCAGTGGTGATCACCTAAACATTCTGCCCCTCTTACCTCCCCGTGGAGCGTCAAGTCCCAACTCCGGTTCTGCCCAGGTCTTTCCGGGGAGCAGCCGAGGGGACTGAAGCTGCCTGGGAGCCCCCAGCCTCCAGTCGTCTCATCAACATGAACATGCAAAAAGGCATTTTTCCTTCCAGAGATTCCAGGGAGTTTAGGAGTTATATGCCAGGAAGCAGGGGTGGAAACCAAACGTGCACTTCTCGCTAAAACCCCAGCTGTCTCCAAACGCGCACCAGCCTCCGCCGCCGACTTCCTGTCCGCCTCCCTCTTCCACTCGGAAAGGCCCTGCGACTGCACTGACGCCGAACCAGGTAGTCCGGAACAATCTCGTATCAGTCAGTGTTCTCCAGAGAGCCGGAGCCAACCGGGCACATGGATACAGCTAGACACCAGCAGGTTACCAGGGGGGTGGGTCACGTGACCACGGGGCCGAGCCAGCTGGAAGCCCTGGGTGCCAGTCACGTGGCTCAGTCCAAGCCCAGAGGCCGTAGGACCAGGGGAGCTGTTGACTTAACTCTCAGTCCCAGGACAGCAGCCTGAGAGTTGGGGGGCGGGGCGGGGGGCATTGGCTGCTGCCGTGGCTCGTGGCTCCTAGAGTTCAAAGGTCAGAGACCCTAGAGGTCTGATTCCAAGGGCAAGAGCAAAAGTGCCCCAACTCCAAAAGAGATACAGAGAGAGAGAGAAACACCTCTGTTCCCTGCCTTGGTTGACTGACGGAGTTCCCAGCTAATCTCCCTCCACACTGAGGGAGGCTCCTCCCACACAGGCCAAGTTCCCTTGGAAACTTGCTCACAGACACACCAGGAATCACTGGATCAGGTGTCCCCTGATCCAGTCAAGCAGGATCCCCGACCTCCAGGTCAGCTAACCAGCAACCCCCACTCCATAGGCAGCTTCAACTTCTCCTCATCCTACGAGGCAACAGGCACAGGGGCCCGGGATTCGGATGTGGGCACCTCGAGGGGCGGCTCCAAGAGAGCTCCAGTAGAAAATGGAATTATTGCATCGATTTATTTTGGTACAATGTTTTTTAACTCCATGTATA